TTGGTTTTTTTACTTATGTCTTGTAGATAGCATGATAGGAAGCCAGAAACACCCAGTAACTTGATGGATCACTTCTTTTTAAATATTCTTTACATTATATTAACAAGCTAATGAATAGATGATTGGTAATCATTTGTACTGAGCAGCCCTGCCTTTCATACAAAATTCAGTTTTGTAACCAGAATGTGAAGGCTTATGCACAATACTGATACTAAGTAATATAAAAATTCAACTGTGAATTTAAAAGGAAAGTCTACAAAAAGCATTAACATTTCTAGTGTCTTGCATTCTCTGTCTTCACAGTGTAGCTATGAATGTGTTAAAGTTCGTAACTTTGGCACAGAGTAATCTAATAATTCATCAGGCCACTTACAGAGTGTCAGGATTTTTAGGTGTATATAAAGCCTGTCTGTAGCTTTTTTTTTTTTTTTCAACAGACCTGCTGGCTTAGGTTTCCACACCAAATACAGAGGTCTTCTGGAGGAGTAAGAAGTCAATGCTGTAACATGCTTTATATAATACAGAAATTTAAAAATAAAATTATTCAGTGTTTCAGTCTACTTGTGGCCTTTCACATTGGTATCGCCTCGCTGTGCAGGACTTTGAAAGCAGCTGTGTTAACAAAATATACAGCAGAAAAAGAACAAAAGTAGCAGAATTAAAAACAAAAACAAAACATAAGAGAAAAGAAAAAGGCAGCAGTGTCATGACCAAATAGGTCAGCATGGGAGCATTGTAGTCGGTATGTGTGAAGGCCCATAGCATTAAAAAGAAAGATCATCTAAACAGTCTTCCTGTGTCTACCTGTAAGTAGCAATTTTTTACACAGTCACCATTTCATTTTATCTAGTGAATTATCTTTATTGCTTGGCCTTAAAAGTTTTTAGACAATGAGAAAAGAAATGACACACCTTGAAAAATAAACATTTTCCTCTTGGGGCTGGACCTACATAAAGGTGAGGTGATCCCACAGTAAGTCTGTAACAAGATATGTTAGGTTTTACGTGGCAGGCACACTGAACATTGTTTCCCAGGACTTCCAAGTGAGGACTGGCATCTACTTTGGTTCCTGCTCTATTGTTGTAAGCATGCCTATTTTAAAATGCATCCAGTTCTCCTCCATCAGAGAAATTGGTGAACCAGGAAGTGGCACAGTGACAAGTGGTTGTAACTATGCAAAATCCGGTAGTATATTAAATGAAGAACAGCAGAATTGAATTCCTTGTTGAACTGACATGAGGGTGATTGAATGTTGGAACAGGTTGCCTGGGGAGGCTGTGGAATCTCCATCCTTGGAGATGTCCAAGACTTAATTGGATGTGGTCCTGTGCAACCTGATCTAATTAGATCTAATGTGCTGGTTTAGGCTGGGGTAGAGTTAATTGTCTTCATAGTAGCTGGTATGGGGCTATGTTTTGGATTTCTGCTGAAAATACGGTTGATAACACAGGGATGTTTTAGTTACTGTTGAGTAATGCTTACACAGACTCAAGGCCTTTTCTGCTTCTCACGCCACCCCACCAATGAGTTGGCTGGGGGCACAAGAAGCTGGGAGCATAGCCAGGAGAGCTGACCCAAACTAGCCAAAGGGATATTCCATACCATGTGACGTCATGCTCAGTATATAAACTGGGGGAGTTGGCTGCTTGGGCATCTATCAGCAGGTGGTGACTGACTGCATTGTGCATCATTTGTATATCTTGGGTTTTCTCTCTCTCTCTTTTTGTAATCTTCCTTTTCATCATCATCATTATTATTATTACTACCGTTTTTATCTCAACCCATGAGTTTTTACTTGTTTTTCCCAATTCTTCTGTCCATGCCACTGGGGGTGGGGGGGAGTGAGAAAGTTGCTGCATGGAGCTTAGCTGCTGGTTGAGGTTAAACCACAACATCTGTTTAGACATGCTTTGAGCCAGGGTTGTGCTTGATGGCCTCCAGAGGTCCCTTCCAACCTGAATTATTATTTGATTCCGTGAATGGGCAGTTTTTACCTGGGAGTTAGTGTGCTGCAGAATCAAGTTAAGTGTCTTCCTGCTGGCTATGCCCATGGAGTACATTACCCCCATGAGGGAGTTCGTGCCCTCCAAATGGAAGGCAAGCTCCTTTCACTGTTCCTGTTTGTTCCACAAAATTGCTGGTTTTAATCTGAAACTTTAACACCCACATAATTAGTACAAGAGGGTTTTGTTTGTATGAACTCTTAGATTTGTAATGTGAGAAAAAATGCATGTGCCTGCTGAGGAGAAGCATATGTTTTTGTTCCCTGTTGCTTCTGTTCTGCTGCCCTGAGAGTGGCTGAGACTGGCTTGAAGTCTGGAAAATAACTGTAAAAACAAAAGTAGGGAATGGAGAGTATGTTTGTGCTTATCCTTTTCTAGTTGTTGCAATGTAAAATCTGCTCATCTGGCAGATGAAATGAAAGGTGCTCCCCTTCACAAGCTAATTGCCAGCCCTCTAAACCTGCTAGGAACTTCTGTTTTGTTTGGCTCATGTCATCCTCAGCAGAGGAGATTTTGTAATTGGAATTTAGTTAAAATTTTGTCATATGTGAGCCAGAACAACACTTCCCATGTTCCACATTTTTGTTTGTGTAGTTCAGATAGCAGTAGGGAATAGTAACCATTTGCATTGATAGAATTCACTCAAAGTGTTTGTATGACTGCCACATTAATTACCTCTTCTCCGTAGCTTGTGGGAGTCCAGCAGGGCACTTGGATCCTGTGGTATGAGGTGCCATGCGTGGAGTACAAGATGGGTTGAGATTGCAGTGTCTTTTGGGGGGGACTCTTTTCTGGCTCGAGTAATTTTTAATGGTGGTTCTTGGGTTTGGGTTTTTTATTTGTTTGGGGTTTTTTTAATGATTAATCCATTAGGCTTTCTTAATTAGGCTTAATTTTTAATCCTTCCTTAATTCAGAAATGCATCCATAAACTTGAAGAAACATAAACTATTTTTTTTTTAATGGGAAATTCTGAACAGTCCTAACCATATTGGCAAGGGCATGAAACTGAATTGAAGATTATATTTTTATTGACAGGTTTATTAATAAAAATGACAATCAAGCTGGACTTAAGAGTATATGAAGAACACTATTTTTCTAAGCTAATACCAAATGCCTTTATCTGAGCATGCAGTAACTTTAGTTGATTTTATTGTGCATAAGTTGCTGTATTATGGGAGGTAAATAATTCACTGCTTATTTCACTGTGGAATGCCACATCGTCTTCCTCCCTTCCACTGAGAAATCTATAATAATCTTACAAATTTTTCTTTTGAGATTAAACATTAAAGTACATTGCTTTTATTAGAGGGGATAAGAAAGATAAAGGAGGCACATAAATGTATTCAGATGTCTTCAGTTTTTTTCAGACACCTGCAACAAATACACTAGAGTTTTCAATTTCCTTTATGTTTAGTTTCTGTAGGCTAGAACTTGTTGGACTTTGGTCTTTTGAGGACTTCCAGTAATTATAATGGAGTAAACAAAATGATTAAAAACAGATTTTGCAGATTAGAACAGCCATGCAAATCTTGTTGAGAATTACTTTATCCAGAAACTACAGTTGCACAGGGCTGTCTGGAAAACAGAAGGTATTTGGAAGAATTTTTGGCATATGCTTTATATGTACCTCGAAGTGCTCTGAAACTTACAGCAAATTAATGAAGAGATTGTGCTGTCAGGCTGGTCTCCTGGCCGTTTTATAGACAGTGCCCCTGTAGGATTTCACACATTGAGGGAAACCACAGGGACTGATGCCCAAATGAAGAGATGAGGCATAATTTGCCCTTAAATCTTGTGTTCTAGAGCAAAGTTTTGGGGTGGATTTCCCCGCCTGCTTCCTGTGCATCCTGCCAGAGGAGATGGCAGCACTATGGAAGTGTGAGAGCAGATGGAAAGCGCCTGTAACAGTGTGCTGTGGGCCTTGCCTCCCCTTGGCCCCGCTGCTCTCTATGCAGCCCTCCCTGTGTGGAGCAGCCCTTGCTGTGGCATAAAGCCCAAGCTAGTAAATCCTGCAGAGCTTGTTAGCCTGGGCTTCGCTCTTCTCTGGGCTTGCCTTTGAAGACAAGCCTCAGCAGTTCCAGGCTGATGCTTGGGGGGACTGCTGTAATTTCCCTTTTTTAAAAAGTATGTTTTCACACAGAAAGATGGTTAAGTATTCTGGCCCTTTGTTGATGCAGAAGCGTATGCCTAAGGCTGTATTTCAGACTTGTTTCTGGCAGTGCTGGCAATTGTATACCATGCAGTCAACTCGTAGTTAATTTTACATGTAGAATTTTCTTATCTGCAGGACAGTTACTAAGAAACACATGCAAAAATGGAAGATAACTGTGCTTCTGTTTGTTACAAGTCTGTTGTTTGTGTGTTTGTTTTAAATTTTTGTCGGGGCTTCAGTTTGAAGCAGAAAGCCCTGCCTTCTCAAAGCCTGGGGGGTGGAAGTGCTAGTCAGGCAAGATCTTTGAGGGGGGGGGCGTTGGTCAGCAGTTAAATAGTTAATTGCTATTTGTCTTTTTATCTTTATAGTTCATAATTAGTAGACCACTGGATTAAAGAGGATAGTTAAGACTGTATTTCTTTAATTTTACTGACATATTGACAAATTCCATGTATAACTAAGGAAGTCACAGGCTTAAAGTTGTTCTCTTTCATGATTTTGTCCTGTCCCTCACCTCTGCCTCCACAAATTGATACCTGTAGGGGTAACTTGCCAGTGCTGGTAAGAAACCTTAAAATCTTTGAATAGGAAAGTTATACAAATAATAAATAATGCTTTCTTAAATCTATCTCTGCTCTGAGTGTTTTCTCTCTTTATGAAAATACTGATAGTGTGTTAAATTCTGAAAACAAAATACAGCTCTGAAGTGTATGCTTAGGTGTTTTCCTGATTTGACTCCCAAAGTGACCAATATGATGCTTTTCTTAAAGCTGTGCCATGCTGATGTTGCTTTGTGACCTGCTGTAATTTGGAAAAGTTGAATGTTGCATTTTCTCTCAACAGAAAATTTTTAAAGCTGGAGATACTAACCAGGATGGACAGCTAGATTTTGAAGAATTTATGCAGTATCTTAAAGATCATGAGAAAAAGATGAAACTGGCATTTAAGAGCCTGGACAAAAACAATGATGGTATGCATTGATTTATTTCATTTGTTCAAATGTGGTTTGAAGAAACTGTGCGTTAAAAGTTATCTTGATGTATATTCTTTGTCTAAACTGGAGACAAAAAGTTGTGAATATGGAGCCCCTACTTCTTTTCCTTAATAGGATCATATTATAGTTTATTATAGATTGAAATAATAAATTATTACAGTCTTTTTTTTTTATTATCTTTCAGGCCCATTGATCTGGGGCTCTTTGTTTCCCAGATGGAGAAACTATAAGGAAGTTTCTAAGTATCTATTAAAGATAGAATAGTTTTTTAACTCACGGAATGTTTGCATCTCGTTTGGTTGCATGATTTTAATGTACTCACCTGCATTCAGTCCTTGTAGTAGACAATCAAAATATATCATCTGTGTTTAAATTGATTTTAAATTATCTTTGCTATTATGTAGGTGTTACAGTGGAACTTAGTGAGCTCCAAGGTGCTAAGTGTATTAAGTTCCATGTTTTAAATATGCATCATCTTTCTTTTAATGTTTCAAGGAAAAATTGAAGCATCAGAGGTTGTCCAGTCCCTCAAGATACTGGGTATAAGCATTTCAGAAAAACAGGCAGAAAAGATCCTGCAAAGGTCAGGAATAATTATTATTGCTTAAAGTATTTTAAGCTTCTTTGTATTGTTAGTTATTATATTTTTATAATTCAGAGAACAGGATAAATGGGGTTATAACTTTGAAAGGTGTTGGTACCTTCAGTGGTGCCTTTATAAGAATTCTCACATATTTCATCTGTTCTCGGGTGATTGTAAGTCTGGTCACTATCTGAGGATCTGGTTCTGGGAGGAGAATGTTACCTCATTTCCCTGTGAATGTTGTTGATAGAATGAAGCGTTATATTCTGTTTTTAAATGGAATATGCCAGATGCACTTGGATAAGAAAAGCATAGTATTGAAAGGCCATGGCAGACTCAGCCTTGAAGTCTCCGTATGGAATCTCCAGTCATTTGTCGCTGATATGATGGCCAATATTAAAAAAAAGCCAAAACAAAACAAAAAACACAACCAAAAAAAAGCAACAAAACAGAACAAAAACCCATCCCTGCTATTATTTCCTTATATAGTTTTGTTCAATTTCTTTTTAGTATTGATGCTGATGGGACAATGACAGTAGACTGGAATGAGTGGAGAGACCATTTTATGTTTAACCCAGCTACAGACATTGAGGAAATAATTCGATATTGGAAACATTCCACTGTAAGTTCAACTTTTCTTTTAACTTAGTGCAGCTCTTAAGTTCATCTCTGCTGGGTTAATTTGCAGTATTGAGTATAACAGCTTGACAGTTGTTATATTTCAGGCGTACCTGTATTTCAAATAGTTTGGTTTTCCTTTTCACTTCATGCTGTCCCATTTATAAGCAGGACAGTGTCGTGTGAGTTTCTTCTAAGCAAAGAACTTCATCTAAACTTTGCCAATAATTATCAGTAATTTTTAGGAAGGCATCCTTTTTTTCCTTTGGAGATATTCCACAGAAAGATAATAACCACAATATTATATATTTTTCTTTTTGCATTACGGTGCATTCTTATGTTCAGTGCTTTTGATGTGTTGAAACAAATTATAGAAGCATTTTAACTGTTATGTTGAAATTAGTTCAGTATTTGCATTTATATAGTAACAATCATGATCATAAAATCACTGGTGTCATTAGTGATGATTTTCTGTGCACATGTTCTCACACTCTTTTGTGCTATAGAATTTAATTTAAGCATGACAATATACAGCAATAGGCTATCCACTGTGCAGATAAATTTTTTTAAGTTACTATTGAATGGAGCTCTTACCACCTCAGTGGCTGACTTTTAAGAACAAATAATAAGGTAAGTAAACCAATGGTAATCCTGCTTACTGAATATCCTTTCTGTAGATTATTGGAGTAATCCATAAAGTTAGGTAAAGACAGATTTCTTTGAATATAGTGAGACCGTCTATATCGTCAGGGATTAGTCAGCATTTCCGTAATAAAAAACAGTTTGAGATCTGAAAGCTTTGAGTGTTTCACATTGTACAAGCTCAATTCAGAAATGCTTGCCAAAAGTGAGTTAGCTCCCTGTTTGCTGAAGGAAACTCTTGAAGCACTGCTATGAGATCAAATAGTCCTGCTCCCAGCTTACTTAGTGGAAAAAACCCCTTTGCTTTAATAAAATGCGTTGTATTACTATTACTAAACATAAGATTATTTTTTTTTTAATTATGGAACGTCATTAGTTATCCCCAAGAAACAATTTTAGAAGTCTCTTGTGATCTTCCAGTGTTGCAGTCAGCTGATGACCCACTTATCACAGCAAGCAAAATCCAGCTATATGGCAACACAGCTGGTGTTTCAGATAAGAGCAGATGTGAGAACTCACATGTCTGGCTGGCATTGACAGCTCTTCCAATTCTGTTTTTATTATAAAATTTTAATTGCTGTCAGACTTTTCCAAGCAGATAGCTGCATTGGCATAGAACTATTATGAATTGGTAGCTGTTATATTATGTTATATTCTGTTATAAACACCCTCAAATTTAGCTTTTTTTCTTAGTTGTGTTTAGGGCTTGGTAGACACAATGTTTAAACCCTGGTAGATATGCATAATATCTCTAAGAACATTGAGTTTATATTTTGAGAGTTTTGATTGATCTTTTGATGATTCCATGTAGTTGAGCAACTGATGACACCTTACTTGGAAACCATGAATGTCAGAAGGGTGAAAGGATTTTCCAATTAATCTGTTCTGTGTTCAATATCCAGAACAGTTGGTGTTTACCCTGTTTGTCCAGTGGCTATATCTGTAATTTCCATCCTGCAATTCTTGTGTTCCAAATGACCAAGACAGTATTCTGTCTACTTAACAGACAGGGAATGCAGCATAAATTAGGGATGTAGTGTCTACACTCAGCAGTTAAAAAAAGTCTGTTGGTTAACATGCTTTCTGGTCAGCACTTACCAGTTATTAAAAACATTCTTGCTTCTTTATAGGTTTAATTTATGCATAATATTGGCTTTGCATTATCTACAGCATATTTTTTCTCATATATCATGGTTTATAAATTACATGAAGAGCAGAGACTATGTTTAAGTGATATGTGAGATTCCATAGTCTCGGACAGCTTTATCACTAAAGCCTATAGTAATGTTCTTTGATCAAATTGAATGGTAATACAAACATGCACCTCTTAATGAAATTTCAAACTTTTATAGCTGAAAAAAGTCATTAATATGTCTTTCAGTGTAACTGATGATAAGAAAATGTATAAAGCATTAGTCAAACTTGTCATTTTGTAAGATAATACACAGCAGTTACCAGAAATAGAATATTCTGATATATCAGCTATAAAAAGTGTTGTTTTGAGGGGGGGGGGGGGGAGGAAGGGGGAGGAAATCGCACATATGTGTGAATAAATTACCATGAGAGAGAAATCTCTTGTTAGCATCCTTAGGAGATTACCAAACTAATCCCAGACGGTTGTCCGGTGAAAGGTTAGCTGCAACATATAAGCATTTGAGCTTTAGTGCTGACTGTAAAGGTCTACTGATCGTGACAGAATGTCTTTGTTTGGGCCATGCTCAAGGCAGAAATTTGTCATAATTTTTAATGATGATGGTGCAGTCTTTGAAATGGTAGGTCTGTGGTATTAATGCTCAAAAAGTAGCTATTCATTGAATAGCAATAGCAATCCATAGCAAGTTAATTATAGAATGTAATTTAGAGATTTTTTTTTTATTTTTAACTAGCATTTTGTTTATGTGTTCTCAGGTGGTAGGTTAATTTGGAATTAGAACTGTTGATAAAATTCAGATGATGGAATGAGATAGTTATTGGCACATCTTTGCTTTTGATTCTAATAGGTGTTGGATATAGGAGATAGTTTGACTGTTCCAGATGAGTTCACGGAGGAAGAGAAAAAGACTGGACAGTGGTGGAAACAGCTGTTGGCAGGAGGAGTGGCTGGTGCTGTCTCTCGAACGGGTACAGCGCCGTTAGATCGCCTTAAAGTGATGATGCAGGTGGGTGCAATGTTTAAGAACTTTTTAGTTTCCAGTGTATCACTTCAGTTTTTAGAGAGCTGTTATGGAAAACTGATGGCCAAATACAATATCTGAATTCTGGAGGTCTAGTTATGTTTTGACAATTTCCATATTTTGTGTTCATAAAAATTGTCTTTTCCATAGTCATATTGGCAAAAATGTAGACAAAATATTATAGTACCTGTGCCACTAAAATAAGATTTTTTTCAATAGTGGATGTGGTTTTGCTAGTTGATACATTTAAGCAATTTAATAGTTAGGTGATGATTGTAAAACTACAATCTAATCAGAGCAGTGTTCTTTACTGTGACTTTGGTTTTTTTTAGGTTCATGGTTCAAAATCAAACAAAATGAATATAGCCAGTGGTTTTAAGCAAATGTTGAAAGAAGGTGGCGTCCGATCCCTCTGGAGGGGAAATGGTGTAAATGTTGTGAAAATAGCTCCCGAAACAGCTATTAAATTCTGGGCTTATGAACAGGTAGGATGATAAATCAGGAATTAAACTTATGGTAGATAGAATATTATATCACTTTCACTGTTTATTATTTGCACTGTTGTATTACATAGGGGTTCTTACTGTGGTTGGGGATTTTGTCACAGTAATTTAGAGTCACTTTCAGATTTAAAATAGTCTATTTATTCTGTTAATAGAATACTTGGTATTAGGCAGATTTTGCTATTGTATTATAAGCAATGTAAATAAACTAAATCTGTCATACATTTTAAACTGTCCTCCAGTCTGCATAGCTTTATATGGAGCACTGCATTAATATCTAGTTTGTTGCTTTGAAGTGACAACAACCAAAAACTTAGCACATTATGCTAGCTGAACTTACACAGGATTCTTTTTAAGTCAAATATCATGATGCTATGTAAGATGCCCTCAACCTGGATTTCAGAGTTATATTTACCTCTGAATCAGCTTTAAGCATCATGTTAAGGCCTAATCCTCCTTTAGAAAATGAACTCCTGTTCTGGTGTAGTTAAACAATCTTTATTTTTCCTCTGTGGGGCTTGCTGGTGCCTCAAGTAAGACTAAATGAACATACTGCACATCTCTCTACAACTATGAAATAAAAGCAACAAAAAGTCAAGTAAACTTTGGGATATTGCAAGACTGAACAGCAGATTTTGATGCCATAGAGTAACCTTGAGCACATAATTCCTTACTCTTGCTCTGCCTTTTGGGAGCCGGTGGCGTGTTCTTGCATGATGGTGTCTGTCTTGAGTGAAACAGTATGTACAGCTCTCTAAGTGTCTCTGTGAACATGCTAGTCAGTCTTTCATTCTTTGATTGGAGAACTGGATCTGCAAGGGGGTCGGGTTCCTCTTTGTTATCTGAGGTCCATAGTGTGGGTACCCTTGTTGGCTGTTTGTAGAACACCTGACAGTACTGTGGGTGGCTGAGGTGTTTAATGTAAAGGATTCTTGCAGGCTGGAATATTCATTGTATTCTTGAGAATCTTTGTCCACAGAGTTGCAGTGAGTATAGTGCAAAATTGGTTGGGTTAGTAAATGTAACTGTAAATACATAAAAAGTATGTACAGCTTGACAAGACATTTTGTGCTGTACTCTTGTCTCTTGTAATAACTCTTGCTTTTCCTAAAAAGCATGTGATGTTTATTTTACGTGTTTTAACTATACAGTATAAGAAGATACTCACTAAGGATGATGGGAAGTTAGGCACCGTTGAAAGATTTGTATCTGGTTCTTTGGCTGGAGCAACAGCACAAACTTCTATTTATCCCATGGAGGTAAGTAACAGAGGATCTGCTTCTATTAGAGTCTGCCAAACGTCTGGTTCATTTCCAAAGTAAAACTCTTTTTGCTCTAGAAAGTATTGTAGGAATTCCTCTATATTCTTATATTCTAATTTATTTTTACTTTGGACTTCCTTTCAGAATTTCAGTACTAGGCACTTTAGAATATACTATGTCTAATTGATACTTGTTATTTTTCTATATATTTGGCTGTATAATATTGTCTACAGCAATGTTTAAATAAAACCTAGTTCAGGGAAAAAATCCAAGAACGCATTTAAAATTAATTACATATTCAAGTATTTTCTAAATTGGGCATAAATCTTTTTCCCACTGTATATAAGCAAGGGAAGGTCTTGTGTGTAGCAGAACTGATGAAGTTCTCTTACATTATGATGTGGAGCTGGGTCCAATTAGGAAATCAGTGTGGAGGGAGAATATAACAGCTACAGTTGGGGCTGGGTGGATTAACTGCCCTTTCCTCTGTAGGACATATTTTGTATGTGGTACTACACATGTTGCAATTTGACTAGCATTAATATACTAACAGCTCTAGGGTAGCTATTTCACATCCTGCTTTTTTTAAATGGAAGTAGGATGTACTTGCTCTATTGCTGGTTCCCCAGAAAGTTTATCTTGTTGTGCAAATAACTGGAATATATCTGGGGTCTGGGATTAAACCAATACCAACATGAAGATTTGGAAGTAATGGAAAATGTAACCTAAATACCTTTTTCATAGGGAGGGGTGTCAGTAGGAATAGAACTTAGCTGTTTTCATTGCTGACAGTGGTAATGATCTCTTTTTAAATAGCATCCCTGCTGTTAGAGCTGCTGAATCACAGCTAGCCTCAGTACAGAGATGGGTTAAGTTATAGAATAACTGAAATGTTATGTACATCATCTGGATTACACTGATCAATGGAGACAGGTGAACTATTCTACAATAAGATGCTCTGATCTTCCTAACAAATATATAATACTGTCCTAGAAGTGTTTTTTAGGGTGTTTCAAAGTAAGAGAAAAGCAAAGTGCCAGGAAACTCCTGAGGAAGCTGCAGTCTTATGAGGCTTTGAAGTAGGTCAAATTCTTGCTCAGGAAATTCCCTGTGTGGTTTCTTTTGGATACTGCTAGTAATTTCTTTGTCCTAAGATTCTGTATAGACTTATTTGCATTATTAATCAGATGCTGGGTTTCAGTAGAGATGCAATCTTTATTTCCCTTAACTACCTCTCAGTGTCGTGCTTTTTGAAAGACTGTTTTCTTAATATGCTTTGCTGTTCCCAGATGAGAAGTGTGATCTTCTAGTATGTCAATGTTCTCACTTGTTCTTTAGCTAATCCTTCTATTAAATATTGCCCACACTGTTGCCTTCAAGTTGATAAAAAATCTGCCTGTTTTAATCAAGAAAAGAAAGGTAAAATGCAATTTAAAAAGGCTAATAAATTGTAAGCTAGTGTATAGTAGTATGCATACTGCCCTGCACTAATGATAAAACCTGAGGAAGCCTACTGCTGACAAAGCCTTAACAGTAGTCATCACAAAGGAATTTTGAAGTACCAAAATGCAAAGCAGTTCCAGACAATTGAATAAGCAGAGAGATACTGTGTTTTCCTGTGTTTGTAACCTACATTAATAAGTAGGTATGTAATTACAGCTACTATTTTTTCCCCTTTAGGTTTTAAAGACCAGATTGGCTGTGGGTAAAACAGGGCAATATTCTGGGATGTTTGACTGTGCTAAGAAGATCTTAAAAAGAGAAGGTGTAAAGGCCTTCTACAAAGGCTATATTCCTAATATTCTGGGTATAATTCCTTATGCTGGCATTGACCTTGCTGTTTATGAGGTGAGTTTAGGTTACTGAATGCATGTAGCTTTCATTAGTTAATTTATGAAAAGGGTAAATATTCTTTAGAAGACCTGTATCATTAGTTAGATTTGTAACACGCTTGTAGAATTACAGGTGCCTTCAGTTTAAAATAGACAAATGAGAATTTCCACTAATCTTACTGGACTTTCATGTTTTTGTTTGTTTGCCCCTCATGGAGGAGTGCCTGTGCCGTTGGGCCCTTACATGCAACGGTACCAAACAAGAAATCTACTTGTAAGGCAGGATCCTATAGACCTTGGCAATACAACATGCTTGCATACCTAACTAACCCTGTCAGACTGGAACATACCCGTTCTATAGCAAATATGGGCCTTAAAAACCTGATATGATATTCATACTATATCACCTATCCTGCATTTATGATACTTAATACATTTTTTTTGCCATTTTCTGTGATTTATAATGGGATTATAGTAACCTGAATTCCTCATGTGTTTGTGCACATCACCAGAATTCTTTGTGGCTGATGTATAGTTGTTGTGAGAAGGTCTGAAACACCACTCTCTTTTCTTTCAAGAGGAACCAGCACCTCTTACACCCATCAGGAACAATTAAAACGTTTTATCTACTTCAGATGCTAGGTGTTGCTTTGAAGTGTGTTAAGTAACTCAGATGCACAGACTAATTTTTTTTCTAGTCTAGACAAATTTTTTTGTGTCACTGCAATAGCAATCGGCAGAATTGCTTGAGCAAACCTTTTCAAAGCAGTATGGAAGTTCTTTTCTACAGTTTGCATCCTTGCTTCTACATGAGGTGATGTGCACAGCTGTGTGAGCTTTTGTTGCACACTCTGGGGTGCTGAGTTGTGTTTCACCCCTTTCTTCCCCCAAAGTATTAACAGGTCTAGAACATGGGCACTGTTCCTGCTGCTGGATCTTTTAAGGATTTCTCTTCTAGGCACTTACTATTGTAGTCTGGTTAAAGTCCTTACCCATGTGCTAAAGTGTTTACCTGTGCACTTTAAAAGTGAGCATGTAGGACTGGTGTAGTGAGATTGGTGCTTTTCAGGATTGAGCCCATAAGATTTGTTATGAATGAAGATGTATTTGTTTACTTTCTTGAATGCAGGTCTCTTGTCTTATTATTTAATTTTATATCTTGGCAGCTCTTAAAGAGTACATGGCTAGAACACTATGCATCAAGCTCCGCTAACCCAGGTGTTTTTGTATTGTTGGGGTGTGGTACTGTTTCCAGCACATGTGGGCAGTTAGCCAGTTACCCTCTTGCTCTTATCAGAACACGCATGCAGGCTCAAGGTGAGTCCTGTTGTACTGAAAACATTTCTGTGTGGTCACATCAAAATTGTATCATTTGGGATAGCTGTAGCAGAGATATGGGAATAAAAAAGCCCAACTTGGAAAACCAAGGACTTACCTGGAAAATCCTTCTTAACATTAGTCTCTTCTCCCTGTTACCCCCAACAGTGTTCTTCATCATACTCGATTGAAATGTAACATTTCAGACACTAGTGCTCCGAGAGCCACATTCCATAAAGACTACCAGGCATAGAGCTCCTATCATAGCCTGGGAGCACATTTCTAAAATTTAGAATGTTTCCTAAATTTTGGAGGTAAAATGAAAAGGTCTTGCATTATCCTTTGAACATAGACAACAATGTTTGCTCTGGAGGACATTTCATAAAGACAGTTTCATATCTGAGATTTTTCCTTGATAGGTTTGTGCACAGACTTAAGGATAGGAGTCTAGATTTCCAAAGGAATGTAGGTGGATAATGCTTTTCAGTGGGGTTTAGACACATGGATATTCCTCACATATCTGGGATTAAAGAGATCTCCTCTCTGTGAGGGCTCAAGTTTTAATCAGTGGCCCTAGAGGTGCTAGTAGGCTCACCACCCAAGGGTTTAATAATTGCTTAAGGATTTTAAAATTACTAGAACTGTTGTATAACACATTATTTTTTTGTTCTAGCCTCAGTGGAAGGAGCTCCACAGCTAAACATGGTCGGTCTCTTTCAAAGAATTGTTGCTACGGAGGGAATCCGAGGACTTTATAGGGGCATAGCCCCTAATTTTATGAAGGTGCTTCCAGCTGTCAGCATCAGCTATGTTGTATATGAAAAAATGAAGCAGAATTTGGGAATAGCATGAAATGAAGGAAAAAGGTGAGATGCTTCTAATGTTGTTGGAAACACCAGAACAAAAATTATTTCTCAAGTAATCTGCTCTCACAATTGGAGACAGATCTTTGCGGAGAGATGCTGCAACTTCTACTTTTGCCCTGAAGTGGAAAGAAACTTTCTTAAATTCTAGTTCACCATTTCTAAACAGATACCTATATTGCACTTTAAAATGTCACTGAGTTTAAAAAAAAAAAAAAATCAAGAAACTATCTTTAAATCAGCAATATGTTTATATTTTCAGGAAATCATGTGTATTTTACTCATTGGCTTTCTTTTTTTTGTATTTGTCTTCTCTAAATGTGTATTTGGCTTGGATCAAACCAAAGGTAGGAGAAGTTTATACTGCCTTGATACTGAATATATGAAAGTGACTTTTTGTTTTGTCATGCTGCCTATACTGAACCAATTCACAGGCAACATTTTGCACGCCTAGACATAAGCACTTATTGTTATTTTTGAAGACTTAATGTTAAGTTCATAAGAAATGGGATCTTGGATACAGACAAGGATGGAGTAACACATTAAAATGTAACCCATCACCTTTATCTTCAGGCTAACCTTTTTTTTTGTTTTTAAAGAATAAGAGCCTGGGAAACTGCTGTTCCACGGTATCAGAATACCTCAAATGGATTTACACAATATTTTTGTAATACAATCAGTGATTTTCATAACTTGCTTCACTGGACCTGCTTTTCGTTGCACTTGGAAATGTTAGCACCATTAACCATGACAAGCTTTGGGTTACAGCTGCACATTTTATAGGATCTATGATATACAGGAACAGAAAAAACTTGGTTACTAGATCCATTCCATAGAAGTGCAAGTTGCCATTTAAAAACGGGGTGTAAGATCCAGTATTAAGCTGTTAGTGATTGTAATACAGCCAACAGTGGAGCTCATCATAGCTGCCTTGGGGAGAGAAATCTTTCTCATTTTGGAGTCTCCATTCTTTCCCTACTTGGAGGGCTACGGTCCACTATGTGCTTTTAGCCAATAGAGAATTGCATTATTATGTAAAGGTTTTACAGGTTTGTTATGTGAGATAAATCCTCATTCCCTCAGTCTTCTGTGCACACTGGCTGTGTGTGTGAAGTTCAGATAGTAAAACACTGAGGCATTTTGTCCAAGTGACCAAATGGGACTGCTGATCTCGGGTGCCCATCAGGTTGATGTTAATGAAGCAAGCAAAGCATACACACAGAACTTGTTAGTGCTTGAGAAACAGCTCCTCCTCAAAAACCAAAGCAGCACTTCCTCAATGCAGAAAGTAGGTATTTCCATGTACAAGTACTTCCAAAGTTACTTACTTTTTTGAGGGGTGGTGAAGCATGCCACATTTCAGTTGCCTTCAGGCCTGAACACTGAAATAGACTAACAATTATTGCCGAACTCATTTTGTCACGCTTTTTCTGCTTTCTGTGATGTGTGGTGGCTTAATCTTTGTAAATTCAAGATTACCTTTGTACTTATTTTGACTTTCTAAAAGCAACTGCTCTTAGACCACTTCTTGAAATTGGATTACTGAAGGAAGGAAGAACTTTGTTCCTGTAAGGTCGTTAAGGGTCTCTTTTTTACTTTTTCTTTTAAACAAACAAATAAGCAAGCAAACTTGAATAACTGCCTGAACCTCCCTTGTTCCACATACTGTTTGGGCCGTGTTTTTCAAACAGCAATCAGATGTAAACCTGTGTTCAGTGCTTCCATGGCCGATGCTTATTCTCCATAAACTGATATATAACAACTCCATAAAATTCATATTCTAAAATGTTGTTTTATCAGATTTCAGAAAATGGCAGCTTTAGCTGTGTCTTTTGGACTTCCCACTTTTTAAAAAAACCAAAAAGTTATTCTATCCAAATCACCCATATGTACAATGCCTTTCTGATCTGAATGCTTCTTGGTTTTGCCAACATTCTTTTATCTTTGTGGGATTTGTGAGATCAGTTCCCAATCATTTTGTTTGACTGTGACCAATGAGCAAATGTATTGTGTGTGTGATGTGGAGATGACTTTAGCAGTGTCTATCTTCTAGACTTGGTCCATTTTGTTTATAGTGTGTAAGTGCCATTATGAGTATTGAAAATTACGGTAATGATGTTTTCAAATGTTGAAAAGATGGGGTCTTGCAAATTTAATTTTTCATGATGTGCCTTTATGATGACTGTGTTCAGTTGTGTATTCTTTGTCTCTTAAAGGTATGTTTACCTTTTTAGCTCTATAAAACTACCAGTTTCTAATAAATGTTTGTTTCCTTATCTGGCTGGAGTGTGCTGATGTTTGGGTTTTTTTTATCATGGCCTGATAGATGACACTTCTTTATTGTACTATATGCATAATACTCAATATCAAAAATGAAGGTAATTTTCCTAAAAATAAATTTGACACTAGCCTATCCTTTGCTATTATGTTGATATTTGAAAACCTAGTTTGAGATTAGTCTACTGTCATCCTGTTTAAAACTCTAGCTGTCTCATTGCTTAATGGAAGGTCACATAATGTTTAGTATTTTTGCTTGTTCATTGAACAGTATTACACCATTATTTGCTTTTGTGTATGCTGGGTGGCAGAACTCTTAACAATCAGGACAAACATACTTGCTTGTATTCTTAATATTTGTCTTGCTTTGATGTTAATCTTACTTGTTAGTCAAAGGATCAACATAAAATCTTTTCAGGGTAATTGACTTCCTTTACTCTGCCTGTGTAGTATGGCTATCCTACTAAAAGCATACTCAGTAGCCAGCTTTGACAATTACTTATGAGTTTTTCACACCAATCCTTCAAATGTTAAAGGTAATTGTAAACAAATTAGGGAGGCTTTTCTTGTCCCTGATTCCTGCAAATACAGTTCTTGTAACATAAGATTTAGAAGTTTCCTTTTAAATAACGGAAGAAGTAGATGCTTGGTGTGTGATTCCTGACTAAATGAACAATATGACATTCAATTCTACTTGAGGCAGGGATGCTTTTAACTGGAAATTCTCTGCAATTGGAAAGGCTGGGCTGTGATCTCTCTCACGGTGATCTAGTGGTAACGTGTGCTCTCGAAGATGTCCAAGTTAGATGGTCTCCCTCACCCCCTCCAAAAAGAAAATCTAAACTGCTACAAAATGTAGCACAGGTATTTAAAATACTGCTTTCAAGTTAGCCTTTTGGAAAACTGAATTTGCAGTCTTTTTATCAAAGTCTGGTCCTGATTTTTGATATATAGGGGTTATTATACAGGCAGCACGTATGATGTTTGGCTTTTGAAACAGCTCAGATCTGCAATGCAGGTAGTACCATTATTTCTAACTGCTTGCAACTACGTGCAGGTTGTGTTAAAATAACACTGAGGTAGCAAAAACACATGGACAGGCAGTCTGTTTAGGGCAGCATACTTCTCTCCCTTATAAAAATATTTTTACTATAATTTTAAAGTTTGTTGTGTGTTGGCCAAGGGAAATAGAATGCTAAGCAAGTATCTCAACCATTTCTTCAAGCTTGTTCCTTTAGTTTTTAGTGTATTCCACCAATGTATTTTCATTATCTGTTGAAATAGTGTGTTTCCATAATGCATTCTGAGTTCTTAAATTAGTGGTGATGGATATGTAGGTTGCTGACTACTTGTGTCCCTTGTCTTAAAAAGTTTAGTCTGAAACTTATTGAATTCTACAGTCCAGAAGAATCTTTCACGCTTCCTCTGTATCTTATCTTTTGCTAGGTGTTTACTATTTTTCAAAATGTTTGCAAAGATGGTCCCCCTAGATCATGCAAAAAATATTGCCATACAACTTGCTACTGCCTCTTTACTTAAAGAAACTGAGGCACGAAGAGGATGTAAATCATGCAGTGTCATTGGTAAGTTAATAAGAGGTTCAGGAATTGTGCATCCACGTCCAAACCGATCCCTAACAACTCTTAGCTTTTCTGGGGTGTTCCTTGAGTAAACAATTCTTCCTATGCATAGGCCTATATGTAAGAGGGCCAGAAGGGAAAGGAAAAGCTTTATTTGTTTTCCTTTCAAGGTACACATGGGGTGTGACTGCTGTTCAGTACCATTAACGCTAGAAAACACTGCAGAAATGGCTTGGAATTTAAAACAGGGCTGCCAGTGTGTGTCTTCCCCTCTTGACTGTGGTGGGCTTCCTGGCAGGATATGCCTGCTGCAGCAGTGGCGTTCCTCACAATGGCACCAGCCCAGGCCCAAGGTGTCTTGCATGCTTGCTAGTGGAAATGCCACGGTGAACACTGTGTACCGAAACCCACTTGGAAGCTTTCCTTTCTGCAAAAGAACACTGGGTGCTGCTGCACTACCCAGGTGAGGCTGGGTGTTGACCTCCCTGATGCCCAAATTAGCTTTCTGAGGCCCAGGTTGAGATGACTTCTATTCTTCACTGTCTCATTTCAAACCTATGAGCTAGCTGCACTCGTTGGTATGCAGCAGAATGTATTGGTATCTTTCATTCCCTTCTAATATTTGAAGGTTAGAGAAGGTATAGCAGGAAGTGCGTTGCAGTATGTTGCTACACGTAAACTACTAAAATATGAAGAATGTTTTAACCTGCAGGCTATTTGCCATGTAAGGAAGTGTGGTTTTGAAATGCTTCCCTTTCTGATCTCCAGGTGGTCTTGGGGATGGCTTTTAAGGCTTACATTAGAACAAGATACTGATCTAAACTGTATATTGTGGAGAACATAATTGGTGAGAACTGGATATTCAACACAAAGTGATTTTGGAATATTGTCAGTCTTGCTGTGTGAATTATGTCTAGCTTCTAAGCCCTCCTGGTGTCTGAAAATGTGTAGAAAAATTACTTCTTTTTTGTCAATATTTGTGCAATTCAGGGTAAAAATTATTTGTGTTCTGACAACTAACTAAATGTTTGGGTATTGTGCACCTAAGCTCTTAGACTTTGAGTCTGTTTTGCTAAAGGGTTAACAAAGGAGTGTAGTATGTACTACATAGGTGTATATAAAAAAAAAATTAGTGTGTATGCAAATACATATTTGCATATATCTATATACATATAAAACCTCTTCTCTGCACCAGGTGTGTGCATCTGCTTTGTGTAGTAGCTGGAGCAGTTTCCAGAATGGCCTTTTAATTGAACACTCTTGAAACAATAAAGCTGCTGTCCCTGCAGACCTTTCCTCTGTGAGCTGAAAGTATGAGGTCAAGGAGAAGTAGCCAATAGGTTCTCT